ATGTTCTTGCACTTATCATTTGTTGAGCTTCTAAATCTATGGCTTACAATTTTCCTAATAAGTGAAAACCTCTCAGACATTTTTTTCTCAAATGTTTATCCTACCTTCAGTACAATTACATATGTATTAACGCACAAATTGTCCCACGGCTCACTGAAGCCCTGTTTCTTGTTAGTCTGTTTTTTTAGTTTTTTTGTCCATGTTAAAACTGGATAGTTTTATTGGTATATTTTCAAGTTTCCTAATCTTTTCTTCTTTAGCAATTTTCCAAGTCCCCTTATCATTTTTTCTAAACGTTATTACATTCTGCGTACTTTTCATATCAGACCATTTTTCAAACATGTTTATGCTTTCCTTTATCTAAACACATAATATATAGTTACAGTAAGGATTTTAATGTCCTTATTTACTAATTGTATCATTTCTGTCACTTCTCATTCTGTTTATATTGACTGATATTTCTTTTCATTGTGAGTCCTGTTTTTCTTCTTTGTTCCATGCCTGCTAATTTTGATTAGATAGCATACATTGTGATTTCACTTTCTTTAGGGTGATGGATCTTTTAAAAAAAAATTCAAAAAATATATTATTGACTTACATTGTGGGTCACAATGAAGTTACTTGTAAACAATTTTGCACATTAGAGACATGCAATTCAGGGTAGACTACCCTTTCATTTAGAGCAAAATTTAACCAACTAGTAATGCGTTGTAACAAACCATGTGGACGATAAGCTTTTTCCACTCTGGCTGTGGTAACATGGTCTGTTCTCAACCTTGTTTGAGATCCAGGGATCATACAGCCTGCTTCTTTAAAAATTATATATATATATATATATATACACACACACACATACTATTGATTTCAGAGAGAGAAAGGAAGAGAGAGAAAGAAACATCAATGATGAGAGAGAGTCATTGATTGCCTGCCTCCTGCATACCCCCTGCTGGGGATCAAGCCAGCAACCCAGGCCTGTGCCCTGACCAAGAATCAGACCAAGGTATCCTGGATCATAGGTCAAGGCTCAAAAGCTGAGCCATGCCAGCCTGGCAACCTGATTCTTTTTAATGTTCTGTCCCCAGTCTCACTGGGTTTTCTCACATTATTTGTGAAAAGAAACTCAAAAGAAGATTAAGGGTAACCCTCTCACCACAACCCTTTCACTGTTAATTTAACACATCAAAATTTCTTTTTCTTTCATGACTATCTTTTAAAGTTCTTTAATCAACCGCTGCCACTTAAGCTTAGGTAAGTTCCTTTAGGCCTGGACATTGAGCAAGGATTTAAATGGAACCTTCAGTTAAGAACACAACTCAAAGAAAAAACACACTTCAATGAATTATTTCAATTTCATTTAAATCATAGTTTGGCTTATGAAATATTTAAAATTTTGCTACAAACATTTTGATTCATAAATCAGTTACCTGTGTATTGGCATGCATGAGTTTTTTTGTAAATATTAATAAAATAAACTATTGAAAATGTCCTCTGTGTATGAGGACCTATGCAGTCAGAAATATAGGCACTGAGCAGAAATCTGAACAAGCACAAATGGCCACACTGGTGCCCCTAAAGTTTTCCTTTCATTATTTCTGTCATTATTTCATTCAATAATGTTTATATAATCCTTTTAAGGATTTTAATGTATGTAACCTTTGTTTTCATTAAATTATTTAGGACACCTTCAATCATATTTTAATGAAAAAATGTTAAACTCTCCCTTCTGCTTGACTCTGGTAGATTATAAATTGTGTCTATGATCTTTCATTTGCAGTTATTTCTTTATAGAATATTTCCAATGAGGAAATGAAAATATTTCCCATAGAGGAAGAGAAGTGTGGCAGTTGTTGGTACACTGAAATTTGAACAACCTGGTTGTGCATTTGACTTATGCCATCAGGACCTGTTTGGGCCCAATCTACTTGATTAGATCTGAGTTTATAGGCAGGTAGGTTAGATAATGATTTAAATAGTCGTATTTGTACAAACCATCATTGAGTATCAATGGTGAGCTGTTCAGTCTCCAGAGCCAAACAAGGAGCTCTTTCTCAAAATGACAATAGCTGTTTGCTCTGATATTCACAAAGTCCCAGATGATATTTACCTTTTTTATTATTATTATTACTATATTTTAAAATGTATTCTCCGTATAGATCTTTTGCTGTCTTTGTTGCTTTAAAAAATAATGGATGAAAGAACATGGAAGGATTATCCAAAGAATATATATGCTTAACCCATAGACACAGACAACAATGTGGTAATGGCACAGGGAAGGAGGTGTGTGGACTGGCTGGGGAAAGCAGTGTAGAGGAAAAAGGGAACATGTGTAATAATGTCAACAATAAAAATAAAGTTAAAATGTTTTAATTAAATTTATTGGGGTGACACTGCTTAATAAAATTATGTAGGTTTCAAGTGTACAATTATATAATACATCATCTGTAGATTGCATTGTGTGTTTACCACCCAGTCAAATCTACTTCTGTCGCCACATATTTGAACCCCTTTTGAGATTTCTTTT